GAGGCCCTAGTTAGAGCAGGGCTTCTCAACCGTGGTCCCACAGAAGCAGAGAGTTCTGTGAGAGGTTACGAGGGGTTCCCTGGGAGATCATGATTTATTAAAAAAATTATTTCAAATTCAGGGAATACACTCTTGCGGTGGTGAGCAGAGGCCGAACAAAAATCAAGTTAAAACTCTTTCTGAACTCTCTGGTAGTTTCCTGCTGCAATGTGATTATTTGAAGTGCATTTTTCAAGAAATTAATGGACTCGTTCATGTTAGTCTGTCACATCAATCGCTCCCTCCTGCATCTATTCCCTGCGTTTTCCTATAGTTATTTTACCCTGTTATTTTAAATAGATTTCATGCATGCTTATTTGGTCATGTCTGAGGGTCCAATGTGTCGATTTTGAAGTGGAGGTGTGAGAGAGAAGAGGAGGATTCTAGACTTGACAATACCAATAAGTTTAATGGTGATAATGATACTGAACAACTTAAATCTTCTCCAACATTTCCCTGCACTGGAACATCAACGGACTCAAAAAAAAAAAGTCTGTCTTTACAATGAAAACTATTTATCAATGGGTTTTACATGGATGGAGATCCAGGTTGTTCTATTCCGTTGTGCCCCATCTGTCGCACACAACTTACAAATGCAGCAATGCTCCAGCAAAATTAAAAAGACACTCAACTACAAATCACAGCCGTATGACAAGTAAACATTCTGATTATTTTAAGTGGCTATTGGAATCACAGAACAAACAGAGTAAAGCTTTTGTTAATAAAATGACTGTCAATAAAAAACTCCAAGAAGCAAATTATTTAGTAGCAGAACTTATTACACAGGAAATGAAAAGTCACGATTTGGGTGAGAAAGTGATCATGCTAGCATGTAAAATAACAGTGGGAAAAATGCTTGGACCAGATGCAGTACAAGAAATTGAAAAGGTTTCACTGTCCAACAGTACAATAAGTTGGCGTGTTGATGACGTGTCACATGATGCTGAAGAGGTTTCGTGTGATAAACTGAAGAACAACATCTTTTCGATCCAAGTTGATGAGTCAACAGATTCCACTAATAAATGATGTTTTATGGTGATGGTGAAATTCAAGAAACCCTTTTCTGCTCCATGGAACTACATGAAATATGCAAAGGCCAAGAGGTATTTAAGGTTTTGTCTTCATATCTGGAAACAAAAAGTCTGTCTTGGAGGAACTGCGGGGCATCCGGACTGATGGTCCTCTGTCCGTGGTTGACTCCATGAAAGGTTTCCTTTCTCTTGTCAGAAAAGAAAATCCTGATGTTGTCACAATACGCTGCTTTGTTCACAGAGAGGTGTTGGTACCAAAACTCTTGAAGATCAAATGGAAACTGGTATTGGGTGATGCTACAAAAAT